AAAAAAAAAAAAAAAAAAAAAAAAAAACCAAACCAAACAAAAGAATATGTATTGTTCTTTCAAAGGACCCTAATCAGTTCCCAGCACCCATAAAGGAAGGCTCCCAACAGCAGCTCCAAGAAATCCAACACCTTCTGGTCTTTGCGGGCACCCACACACGTGTATGTATCCAGACACATACACATAATTAAAAAAATAAATCTTGGGGGCTGGGGATTTAGTTCAGTGGTAGAATACTTGCCTAGCAAGCACAAGGTCCTGGGTTTGATCCTCAGCTCCAAAAAAAAAAAAAACTTAAAGATTAGCTTCAAGCAGGCATAGTAGAGCAAGTGCACACCTCTAATCCCAGCACTCAGGAGGTTGAGGCAGGCAGCTTTTTCAAGGCCAGTCTGGTCTACAAAGCAAGTTTCAGAACATCCAGGCATACACAGAGAAACCTCGTCTTGAAAAAACCAAAAGACAAATTAACCAACCTCTCATAACAATTTAAGCTATAAATCAATGAAATAATTAAGTGTTTGAAGACAAAGACATAGCTGTGCACACAGCCAAAGAATGGGGTCAATATTATGGCGACACCGACTTCGTGGTGGTACCCTACAGTCTAAAGAAACGTACACTTGTTTTATACAAGTTATTAAGCCAACTAAATTAGATTCTAGTCATTTTTTTCTTTTTTTTTTTTCTAATCTAATTTCTAAAGTAAAGTCAATTTTACCAATTGCTTAAAAGGAAATTACAGAGAGCAGTAACCAGGAACATTTTAGAGAAGCTTATAGATCTGTCGCTCTAGGAAGCAAAGTAAAATGGGAGAGAAACACCACTCTGGCCACCTTCTTTTCAGACAGGGTCTTGTATCTCAGGCTGGCTTGGGACTCACTATGGTAGTGATTCTCAACCCTCCTGATGCTGCCATCCTTTAATACAGTTCCTCATGGTGTGGTGACCCCAACCATAAAGATATTTTCTTTCTTTTTTTTTTAAAAAGAGATCTGACATTTTTCTTTTCTTTTTTTAAAAAGATTGATTTATTTATTACCTATACAGTGTTCTGCCTGCATGTACGCCTGCAGGTCAGAAGAGGGCACCAGATCTCATTACAGATGGTTGTGAGCCATCATGTGGTTGCTGGGATTTGAACTCTGGACCTCTGGAAGAACAGCCAGTGCTCTTAACTGCTGAGCCATCTCTCCAGCCCCCATAAAGTTATTTTCACTGCTACTTCATAAGTGTAGTTTTGCCACTGTTAAAAATTGTAATGTAAATAGCTGATATGCAGGATATCTGATATATGACCCCAAAGGGGTCATGACCTATAGGTTGAAAACTGCTGCTGCAGGATGTGGTCCAGCTGTCCTCAAATTTGCCAATCTGTTGCCAAAGCCTCCTGAGTGCTGGGATTATAGGCATGAATTGCCATGCCTGGCTCCTGATGATTTTTTCATTTTTTTTTTTTCCCCTTTATTAACTAAAGGCCTGAGTGAGTCTGGCAAGATGGTTCAGTGGGTAGAGGCACTCCTGTGCAGGCCCAATAACTGAAGTTCAATTTCCAGGTCTCACAAAGTGGCAAGAGAGAATTGGTTCTCTGTCCTCTGAACCACACATTCATGCTGTGGTGTATGTATGCCTGCACTTGCATGTGCGCGCGCGCGCGCGCGCACACACACACACACACACACACACACACACACACCCTAAATTTAAAATGTCTTTGATAGATATTTTTTGAGTGATGTCTGGAGACCAAAAGCAAACGTGGATAATGTTCATTGCTACTCTTCAGAAAGAAAGATTACTTAAAAAGAACAAAGTTACAAAGTGTACCTCTATCTAAAACACCATCCTGGATTTTTTCAAGCCAGCATTTTAGGAATTTGTATCACAATTTAATGCACCTGTCCTTAATAATATAATTCTATTTCCAAAAATTCAGAGGTAAGTACAACTGAGGACATAGCTCAGAGGTAAACAGTGCTTGCCTAGCATGTGCAAGGCCTTGGGTTCAAGGTTCCTCTACAAAACAAGAAGAAAAGCTCTAATGTTTAGGAACATTTACTATGAGCCGGGTGGTGGTGGCACATACCTTTAATCATTGCACTCAGGAGGCAAAGGCAGGTCAATCTCTGAGTTCTGAGTTCAAGGCTAGCCTGGTCTACAGATCGAGCTCCAGAATGGCCAGTGCCATACAGAGATACCCTGTCTCAAAAAACCTAAATAAATAAATAAATAAAATATTTACTGTTTAAAATATCTTGGAAACAAGTAAAATTTACATCATTTATAATCTGGGGGATGGGGAATCTTACACACAGCAATTAAAAGGATGAATTTTTTTTTTTTTTTTTTTTTTTTTTGGGACAGGGTTTCTCTGTGTAGCTTTGCGTCTTTCCTGGAACTCACTCGGTAGTCCAGGCTGGCCTCGAACTCACAATGATCCACCTGCCTCTGCCTCCCGAGTGCTGGGATTAAAGGCGTGCGCCACCACCACCTGGCTATGTACTCTTTACAAAAAAATTAACGAGACTGGGAGATGGGTAAAGTGCTTCTATGCAAATGTGCCTTGAGTTCAGATCCCTAGAACCCATGCCAAGAAAAAATGCCAAAGACTAGTTGGATATAACAGCCCACTTGTAATCCCAGCATGAAAGCTGGAGAGAGGAAATCCCCGAGGAGCTGGCATGCTAGCTGAACTGGTGGCTCCAGGTTCATCCGAGATGCTGCCTCAATGAATAAGGTGGAGACTGAAAAGAAGAGAATCTGACACCCATCTCAGGCCTCACAGATACACACGAGGAAGAAGTAAATGATGTACCAGTACCTTCAACCTAGTTACAGACCCGCCTCCGCAATATGTCCTTCAGCTGAAGGATGTCCATCAATGTCTTATCAGAGTAAATCAAAACTCTACTTAAAATGATTTCTGCTGCTGGAGGTACCTAACAACTTTAATCCTAGCAGCTGTGAGGCAGAGGCAGGAGGATGTCTGTGAGTTCCAGGCCAGTCTGATTTACAGAGTGAGTTCTTGGCCATCCAGAGCTGCATCGTGAGCCTCTGCCTCCAAGGGAGGGAGGACTGGAGGAGAGAAAGAAGAAACTCCAAACCAGGTCTGCTGTTCAAGTAGACACAACTGTTAACAGTTATACTTGCAGGTTGGGATAAAAAAGGGTTCTATGTGAGCTTCTGCTTTTACATACATTTATATATAATTTCAGTTCTTACAAGAAACATGTACAATTTTGTAATAAAAAGATGTTTTTCTGCCAGGTGATGGTGGCACATGCTTTTAAACCCAGCACTCGGGAGGCAGAGGCAGACAGATCTCTGTGAGTTTGAGGCCAGCCTGGTGAGTTCCAGGACAGCCAGGGCTACACAGAGAAACCCTGTCTCAAAAAAAGGAAAAAGAAATGTTTTTTCTATATTAAAAAACACAAAACTCCCCAACAGTTTTTAACCTTAAAAAATGTTTGCTTTTGAGAAGTCTGAAATTGCACTGGGCCCTTCTCAGTGCTCAGTCTCACATGCCTAATACCTGGAGAACTTGGCTGCCCTTCACCTCAAGGGCAGCAGGTTTAGCTCTTCATCTGCTTAGTCTTCCTTCCCTAACTGACGTGTCAGCTGTTTCCACCACTGCTGGAGAAGTAATGGCACCTAATTTTGTTTTACAAACAACATTAAAATAACAACAAAGGGCCGGGCGGTGGTGGCGCACGCCTTTAATCCCAGCACTCAGGAACTCACTTTGTAGACCAGGTGGATCTCTGTGAGTTCGAGGCCCGCCTGGGCTACAGAGTGAGTTCCGGGACAGGCACCAAAACTAAACAGAGAAACCCTGTCTCAAAAAACCAAAAATCAATCAAACAAACAAACAATAAAAAAACAACAACAAAGGTGTTAATGTAGCCACCAAGTCTCCTGTCTGAAAAGTAGGTTAATAATTTTTTTGCCCAAATTTAACCATTCACAATTTTGTGTATCAAGGACATATGACACCTTCAACTTTTGTTTTTGTTTCTTTTAGATGAGATCTTCTTACATAGCCTTGGCTGTCCTGGAACTCAGTTTGAAGATCAGGCTGGCTTCAAACTCACAGAGATTCACCTGCCTCTGCCTCCCAATTGCTGGGATTAAAGGCCTGTGTAACTATACCTAGTCGAGATCCTCAACTTTTAAAATTTATTTTACTGATTTTTTAAAATTAATTAGTGTGTGTATGGGAGAGTGAGTACTGGGGACTGAACCCCAGGACCCTGTATACACTAGGTAGTTACTCTATCACTGAGCTTAAATTTAAAAAAGAGATCTTATCCTAGATCTTAGAATAAAAATGACAATTTATAACCTATTTTTTATGTTCCTTATCAGCATAATTTGTCTTCTCTATTTAACCAGAAAAGGATATATCAATAATACAGCAAAACAGGAAGTTATAAAGCATACACAAAACTGAAAGACAAAAAAATCCATCAATATTTCATATATCCTAGAAAGTTTACAGAGTACTGGGTTAGTTTTAATTGGAAAATGCTTAAACTGTTTAAAGAAAAGGGCTGATGAAAGCAATAAGGGACCAGAGCACACCATATGAAGACCTAAGTGTGTGTATCAAGGGTGATGTGATCCAAATGCATTTTGAACATGTATGAGGGTGTGATAATGAAACCCTTTATGGCACATAATTAATATATACTAACAAAAACACTATAAGGCAGATGCTGAGTGTAGTGAGAAAGGGAAACGTAGCAGAAAAAGACAGTCAGAATAATTTTTTTCCATAGTCTCATAACATGGAACTAATATCCATGATGGACTCACAGGGAGATAAATCTAGCTTAAGGTTACTTAACCCAGTTATTTCTGTTAAGTTGACTGCTGATCCTGCAACTACCAAAAAGCACATTTTAATCCGGAAGCCCAGTCTCTGCCTTCCTGCGCACACTATGTATTAATGCAGAAGAACAATCAAGAAGACCCGACGGTGGCGGCTACCTTTCCAGTACACTGCAGGTGCTGTCCCGGCACCGAGAGGGAGGTCACAAACATGGTGAAGCAGCGGAGCAGGAAGACGGTGCCCATCAGACTACAGAGCCTGCGCAGGAGGATCGACCTGTGAACAGTGATCAAGCAGAAATCAGAGACTGCCCACACTCTCCTGCAGTTTAGAAAGCAGGGGGACACCACTCGTCTTTACGGAGGACAGAAACCTTCCTCCCACTTAGAAGTTCTGTATTGAAAGAAAACCATAGAGACAAATGGGTCAGTGTTTCCCTGGGGCCGGGGCGGGGACTGGAATTAATAATGCAAAGACAAGAGGGAACGTTCAGATGGTGTTCTAAACACAGACTGTGGCAGTGTTTGCTCATGGGTTGTTTACTAAATGCAGACCTGTAAACTTAAAGGTAGAAAAACTTACTATATTTAAATTGCACTTTTATAAAGCACTTGGGATGTGTATATGTGTATGTGGTTTTATTATGCCTGCATACAAAACAATGGGTTTCATTATGGATGTGTCATTACATTTTAATTTGGAGGAGAGGAATCTTAGGAGACCATCTAACATGACTAACATAACCCACTAGAGTTCTGCAGTGATGGGGATGTTCTATATGCCATGTAGCCAGCTAAATACAATTGGCTCTTGAGCACCTAAAATGAGGCTCATGTAAGTAAGATCTGAATCTATTATTAATTAATTGAAATTACAATAGCTGCATGCTACTAGTGTGGATCTGAAAGAGCATTCTTTTGGTGGTAAAATATGACCCTACAAAAGTGGAGGAGTTTCTTTCTGTTTGTTTCCCGAGACAGGGTTTCTCTGTGTAGCCTTGGCTCTCCTGGAACTCACTTTGTAGACCAGGCTGGCCTGAGATCTGCCTGCCTCTGCCTCCTAAGTGCTGGGATTAAAGGCATGTGCTACCACCACCCATCTAAAAGTGAAGTTTTCAAGACAGAAGTAATACTGGGAAGCTTAATATTAGTACTATTACTTATAATTTATTCAAAAAACTTGAAGGTTTATTTTGGTTGTTTTTAATTACGTGTAGGTATGCGTGTTTGCCTGTGGGTGCGTGCATGGAAGTGCAGGATCTTTGGAGGCCGAGGTGTGGATCGCCTGGACTGGAGTTACAGGCAGTGGAGAGCCTGCCATTCAGCATGGGCAGTGAGAACTGAACTCCAGAGCCATGGAGAGAGAGCAGCAAGTCACCTTGCCCTGAAGTTGTTTATAGGAGTTACTCGGGCACTTGAGATTCTACTGTTGCTCATTAACAGCACAAAAACAGCTCACAAGAGTGGCTATCTGAAGTTATTCTGAGTTGTCCCTAACTTAAATTTAAGCTGTGAAAATAACACAAAGTTTTATATTCAAGTATATCTAAAACAGAAATTCTGAATAAGCATAACTTGAGTAATTATAAACTGTGCTATCATTTGTTCCTTTATTTCTTTAAATGCTCTAAATCTAAACAGACTAAGAGTTTGGAGACTTTCTCTCAAGAGTAGTACCAAACATGAGGCAAGGTTTGTTTGTTTTAATCTTTAGTGTGCACATCTGGATGGAGCTTAGGAACCTGCATTTCAACAACTTTCAGAGGACTGCAATCAGGGATACAAAGATGACGACATTTGAGAAATAGTTTCTTGGACTAAGTAAACATCGCCTCCTGGATTTACCTACTTTAAGGAAACCCCACTACTTGGATTTACCTGGTCACTACTACACTTCACATTTTAATCCGGAAGCCCAGTCTCTGCCTTCCTGCGCACACTATGTATTAATGCAGAAGAACAATCTTAGGATTTACCTGGTCACTACTACACTTCACAGAGTCTACCAAGGTTTCCTCTAAGGTTAAATTTGTTCTTATTTTCAAGAGTGGATAGATTCAAGTCCACAGGGTCTTGTGAGCCAAAGCTAACCAGAGAGCAGTGATACGCACACTTTTAAACCATTTCCTCTTACAATAGGAGTACACACAGGACACAGTGAGGAATGTGGCAAAGATAGTAGTCATCAACCTTTCTTTTCACCTTCAGAGGACCAAAATAACTGCAGCTCAGGATGCATGTGGTGACCACAGACTTCCTTGTGAGGAAAGAGGTCCCCAATTGCAAGACACCCAGTCATTCCTCTTCAGGGTTCTAAAAACAATGGGCAGCAGCTAACCACAGACAGTCTTGAATGTTCTCCTCATCACTAAGCCTTATTCCCACCCCCCTCTTTTTGACATCTAGCAAGACTCACTAATGTAGAAAAGGGGTCTTCCCATGCCGGGCGGTGGTGGTGCACGCCTTTAATCCCAGCACTCGGGAGGCAGAGGCAGGAGGATCTCTGTGAGTTCCAGGCCAGCCTGGTCTACCAAGTGAGTTCCAGGAAAGGCGCAAAGCTACACAAAGAAACCTTGTCTTGAAAAACCAAAAAGAAAAAAAAAGAAAAAAAAGAAAAGGGGGTCTTCCCATACTTATGCCTTCCTTGCTGTATTTATTTATTCTATTTATTTATCTATTTTGGTTTTTCAAGACAGAGTTTCCTGTGTAACAGCCCTGGCTGTCCTGGAACCCGCTCTGTAGACCAGGCTGGCCTCACAGAGATCCACCTCCTCTACCTCCCAAGTGCTAGGACTAAAGGTGTGTGCCACACCACTGAGCTGCTGTTTTCATTCATCATTTTTAAAAAGTTTTCCCTGGGTATTTCTCAGTGCAAGGGTCAAGAAGCACGCTCCCATTTAGCAGCTTCACTTTCTCAGATGTGCAGAGCATGCAGGACAACCTTGTTTAATGGGCTTTTTTCCTCCAATCAAACACTTAACCAACACTAGCTTTGGAAGCATTTCTAGGTTTCTATAGAAATGGCATTTCTAGTTTGTTTCTGCAGAAGAAGAAAGGAGAAATATGAGAGGGAGAGGAAGAAAAGAAAGAGAAGGAAGAGGAGGTAAAAAGAGGGAGAGGGAGGAGGGGAAAGAGGAGGGGGCTAAACTAGCAAGGATTGGCCCCAGGCTGACTACCCTTTTCCCTATAAGATACATTCACAATACTACTAAATATATTGGTCTTACGACCTTCCTTAACTAAGGCCCCAATTTTCCTTTGTGGAAAGCTATGTCACACTGAGCAGAGGAAATCTTCCAGGGCAACACAGAGGAAGGACCAGGCTTGACAACCCGACATGAGAGTCAGATATTTTCAGTATTTAGGAATCGGGACTACCTGTGCTTGTGAAGAAGAAGAACGAGGATCCAAATGTAGCACAGGATCACGCCACACACTTCAGTCATGGAGAAGGCCCACGGGATCCTGGGAACACTGCAACAGAAAAACAGTTCTTTTTGGAACTGGAGACAAGCAGATACATCCCTTTTCAATACAATGCTTGGCTCAGAACTGCTCTGTAGAACTTTATCTCCCTCAGGAGATGATATCTGGAAAGCCTGGGGGGTTAAAAATCAGCTTCATAAACTATCCCTCTCATCAGAATCTACTAGCTGTCCTAAATTCCAGTAATGATTCTCTGTAAAGAAATAACAACCTGGTGCCTGTCCTGGATCGTGCTCTGTAGCCCAGGCTGGCCTCTAACTCACAGAGATCCTCCTGCCGTAGCCTCCCCAGTGCTGGGATTAAAGGTGTGCGTCACCACCGCCCAGCTCTCAATGTCTTTTCCTTAGATTAGATTTTGCTGTGTGTGTGCCCTTGGGGTTTACAGCAACCGTGCGGTGCCCGGCGTGGGCACAGGTCTTCTGCAAGAGCAGTACACACTCCGAAGCCTCTGAGCCGCCTCTCCAGCCCAGCATCCAACCTCTTAAACTGTGAGTTATAGGACTTGAATAAAGAAGACAGTCTGCACAAAACTGAGTAAATAATTGAGGGAAAATCATCATCCAACACGTGATGCATCGTCCGAGGTGTCTCTGCAGTCCCACCTCGCCCGCACCACTCTGCACAGCTTTACTGCAGTCTCGGTTCTCTTGGTTCTGAACACAACACACACTTCACACCGCATGCCATCACTCCTTACAACGCCAGTGAATGCTGCCTGTAACACCTCAGCTCAGATTCAAAGACTGCTCTATGTTAGGAAGTGCAGGGTCTTTACAAAGTCTGCTCTAAGGGAAAAAACTGCTTTACTTATAAAAAACAGATGTAATCACCAATTTTCCTATTTGCTACTCTCGTCAGCACGTAAGCAACAAGTTATCATGTCCTTGAGTTGTCTTCTGTGATGACGGCTGACTTAAAAATTGCTGTGGCTGGGCGGCTGCACAGGCCTTCAATGACAGCACTCAGGAGGCAGAGGCAGGCGGGTCTCTGAATTCCAGGCCAGCCTGGGCTACAGAGTGACTTCCAGGACAGCTAGAGCTACACAGAGAAGTCCTATCTCAAAAGAAACAAACAAAAATTGTTACACGAATTTTGGCTCAGAATTAGAATAATATTTCCAACAATTTCTAAATGGCCCTGAACAGCTGCCATTTTGTATTATGAATTTATGTGAAGTGGTATTTTCAGAATTGAGGATTATAAAAAAATCAAAAATATTAACTCTGAAAAATACAGAAGATGCTGTATTCTCAAGTATCAAATATTTTGGCAAGATTTATTTTTTTATGTAAAAATAAACAAGAACATTTTATTATTATGTACATTTGCCTTCTCAACTTTAGTAATAGTAAAATTATATGCATGTCTAAAGAATTATCTAAAAATAAATTTATGATATATTATCAGCAAATGTATGATTTGCTAGGACCAAAGGCATGTGCCACGACACTCTTAAAAAACCTTTAAAAATAATATACATAAAAGCCGGGAGATCCACCTGCCTTTGCCTCCTGAGTCCTGGGAACCAAAGTGTTTGCTACCATGCCTGGCTTATAAGTAGTTCAAGGACAACCAGGGATATATAGTGGGACCCTACCCCCAATAAGAAAGACATACGTACATAGAAAAGTTTAAATAATTTTACACACTTAGGATAAAAGTGAATCTTCTACTTCTTCCCCAAAATAAACCTAATTACTGCTCCGCAGTTTTACTCTATTTTATCCCACATTAAATCATTTAGTAACACACCCACACACACCTAACACACCTAACACACACACACACACACACACACACGCCTTTCTATCTCTGTATGAGTCTCTCGCCCACTATTTAATAATTTTGCTTAAGAACAGCTGTTTTAGCTTTTACCCAATATAAGCTTATATTCATACAAAAATTATGATGAAACTCCTTTCTGTAAAACTTCTTATAATTTCTAGATCTAATAAAAACTTCTTTTTAAAAAGTTTTCCAGGTACTTACTGATGGTCTCCCCCTACTCCCTCCCTCTCCCCCTTACTCCTTGTTAATGTATATAATGGCATTCTTGCTCCCTTTATTTTTATTTCTCTTCCTGTGATCTTGCCCTTTGCCCTACCACAGCAACCAACACTCTGTTATAACCTGAACCTTGTCATTATTAATATTTCTCCTCAGACCTTCAATTTCAAGAATCCTATGCTTTAGGAATAATATATAAAATATACGTATAAAACCCCAAACTAAACAAACCCCAGGCCACCCTACAATCAGTAGGACATCCTACAGTACAGCCTCATGCACACAAAGCCAAGCCCTGTGATCCAGTTCTACGTCCACTTCTTTGTAGTCCTTCACTGACCTTACAGATCCGACCGTCTCCAACTCCCATTTCCTCCCATCACCACCAATTTCTTTGAAAAAACCCCGATCCTTCTGAAAAAAGTGCAAGTACACAAGTACTTACTACTCCACTTAAATTGTTCAATTATTTATATTTCATGTTTTGCCATCTTTGCTTCATTTCACACATTTTCGAGTCCTCCAAAATTACTCCATGTATCTCGGAGACTAAGGACAGACCTCAGACTGCTGTGCCCTGACAACTGCAGCACTGGTTCTTGGCATCATGTTTAATATGCACCCCACATTCACACTTTAATTATCCTCAACACGCCCTTTGCAACTGAATTTGCTTGATTAGGATCCAATGACCAGGTACTGAGCTTGGTGTGTCCCTTCCATTCCCTCACAATCCCTGGGTTTTACTCTGACACTGACATCTCTGGAGACTCTAGATGAGCTATCATGTAGAATGCTTCTTTTTGTGTCTATTTCCTCATCATCAGATTTAGGTTAAACTTTTCTGAGGGGCAAGATTATCAGATTATTCTCAAGGTGATGCTTTGAACATTACATCCAGTGCATGCTGTCAGCTTGTTCCACTGTGATGGCGGATCTGACCATGTGGTTAGGACGATCTTTGTCAGGTCCCAGCACTGTGAAAGTACCTGTTTCCTCTGCAATTAAGTAATGTGAAAGATGAAACTTCAATCATGCAAAAATGCTGTTGCTCAGCGGCTTTCCATCAGATGGATTTCAGCATCCACTGATAACTTGCCTGAATCAATTGTACATTGAAGGAAGGATACAGGCAGCTTCACTTTGCATCCACTATTTCTTGTCTGTTTACTAGTCACAGATAAACATTGTCCTCAATGCTTTAAATTCATGACTATCATTCCTTTTTAAAAACAGGAAGAACAGTTTATTGAGTATACTGTAGGAGGGCAGCAGGCTGAGTAGTAACCAGAATACTATTACCTCTAACAGCTGGTGTCCCCACAAGATAGCTTACAGATAGAGCTTGGTGGCAGAGCACTCACCCTACATGCACTCAGCCCTGGGCTCAATCACCAGCAATGGAAAACAAGGTTGCATTGATCATTTTAAAAAACCACTGAAGTAAAAACAGTTGTTACTTACTGTTCTCTTTTTGTTTTTCATAACCACAGACTATTTATTTATTTTTAGTTTTTCAAGATAGGGCTTCTCTTTGTAGCCCTGGCTGTCCTGGAACTTGCTTGGTAGACCAGGCTAGCCTAAACTCACAGAGATCCGCCTGCCTCTGGCTCCCGAATGCTGGGATTAAACATACAACACTACCTGGTTCTTCTTCTTTTTTTTTTTTAATGTTTATTTTTCAAATTTTAAAAAAAATTTAAATTGATGTTTTACCTGCATGTATGTCTGTGTGAAGGTGTTGGGTCCCCCAGAACTGGGCTTATAGACAGCTATGAGATGCCATGTGGGTGCTGGGAATCAAACCCAGGTCCTCTGAAAGAACAGCCAGTACTCTTAACTGCTGAGCCATCTCTCCAGCCCCCGACCATTTCTTTTTTATTTAATATATAATTTTTTTTTTTTTTTTTTTTTTTTTTTTGGTTTTTCGAGACAGGGTTTCTCTGTGTAGCTTTGCGCCTTTCCTGGAGCTCACTTGGTAGCCCAGGCTGGCCTCGAACTCACAGAGATTCGCCTGGCTCTGCCTCCCGAGTGCTGGGATTAAAGGCGTGCGCCACCAACGCCCGGCAATATATAATAGTTTTATTCAGTACATAATAAAAACAAAATCAACCCCTGAATGAATTTGTACTACTGGAAATAAATTTGATTCATCTGGTGGTATTTTTAGGAAAGCAGAACCCTTTTCATCATTTTAAATAAAATTTTCTTAAAAAGAAAGGCAGCTAAGTCTACCACATTCTCCTAACACTTACAAATGTCGCAGAGCCTGAACCTGTGGTCCCCCACCTCAGTTTCCAGAGTAAGGTATGTGCCACCAGGCTCAGCAAAGCCCGTCATCTGATGGCACCAGACAAGGCAAATGGAGTATACATACACGTCAGCTATAACCACAACGCTATTATCCACGTTACCACTGCTGCGACTCCAGAAACCTTCTACAAACTTGGCATCTAGAAACAAAACCTACCTGTCTAAGAATATATCCGGGAGTGGTGGGTAGGTCTGCATGTCAGGTACTCGCTCGTGAACAATAACCATAATGAAAGATGTAAACCCGAATACTATAAAAACATATACACAACTCAGTATGGTCTTCCAGTACTCTGGGTCCAATCTTCGAACAGAATGTTTGCTCTTGCCATTCATGTACTGGTACTGCTCAGAACTCAAGTCAGTGATGGGTCCATCGCAGCTGTGTGTGGGCTCTCCATTACAGAGCCAGTCTGCACTCTGAAGAGCACTGATGAATGGAGTCATGGGACTCATGGGGCTGTCACTGTTGTAGCCCATCTCCTCCAAAACATCAATATGGATTTTCTGCAATTTCCTGACAGAGAGCATTAACCTTTTAATGTCTCCTAGGACTTTGATTTCCAGAGGAGGAGACCGAAGATCATATTCAGTCAGGGTGAGTAATGTGATTCCATCCAGTCGGTGCTTGTTGCATAAAATGTCCACATATTCCAAGAAACCTTCATCCTTCAGCCACACTGCTACATGCTTAGTAGTCCAGCGGCGAATGCAGAGTTGACTAGGGCCTGCCATCTCTTCCTCCACTGACTGTCAAAAGAAAACAAAACAAAACTAGAATGTAGTCCAACATCTTCATTAAAGACCAAATGCAAACACGCATACCAGAAACAATAAAGTACCCCCACTGGCTTCCATAGTCAAAGAAATAACAGCTATTCAGGAATGAGTATTTTCAATAGATTAACATTCTAATAATTTTAAGAGGCTGATAGCAAGTGTCTCAGTTTTATGGAGGACAGTTGTTGAAGCCAGGACTCACACAGGATAAGTGATCTACCTTGAGCTATACTCCAGCTTTAACACTTTAGAAAAAGGTGTTTTACAAATGGCGTTTCCACAGCATGTCAACAACGATTACTTCAAAAGATTACTATTGAGAACACTGGAGGGGGAAAATCCCATCTTAATGCTTTTCATAAAATGAAATCTATAAAAGACATATGGGAAAAGCTAAATTTCTGAAATTGTCACGTTCATGGGGGAAAAAAATTTCCCCACTTGAGGTAGAAAAGAACAAAATTACAGACAGTAAAATTCCAGAAAACTTTAGATTTGTACATCTCTATCTATTATGTATGAGATGATTTAGCCAACAGATAAAAAGATTTTAAAATAGCTATGAACTTCAGCTAAGTTCCGAACAGCCTTTGAAAGTCCCACTGCAGAAGTGGAAAGGCACTTCTGGGAGTTAGTGGTCAAAGTGTTAAAAGAAAACTACCATTTCAATATACGCATAAATAGGAAGCAAAATTCAGAGTATAGTAATAAAAGGTCATTTAAGTGCACTATTTTTAAAAGTATTGATAATTTTTGCTACTTTGATCCTACTTAGCTATATATGTTTTTTTTTCCTCTTGTAAAACCTGGGTCTATTTCAAGTTTTTAAAGTGTATCAGATACATAGAAAACAAAGGCTTATAAAGAAAAAAAGGGATAACAAAAACTACTTCTCATGTGTCTACTTCTTGGACTTCTTTTTTTTGTTTGTTTGTTTTTTGTTTTTTGAAACAGGGTTTCTCTGTGTAGCTTTGCACCTTTCC